GGGGTCTGTATCTTCTCTGTATAATAAACATTATTTACTATGTAGTAAAATTTACTATTAGTATTTATAAGAATAGAACGATAAATTAATATGTGTGGTAAGTAAAATGATATTAATTTACTTCTTAAACAAAGATATCCAATGGCTGTGGAATTGCAGATTAAGTTCTAGAAAATGTTAGAAATGAAGATTACTTTACAATTTACAAATTGTATATAATAAATTACATGCATTTATTTTATATGTATACATATACTTATGAAAACATAATCAAAATTTGATGTGAACATTTTCTGGAATGGAAATAATTCCCAAAGTCATTGAGTTAAATCAATGTGTGAATGTTAACATGTAACTTTTTTGTTAGCTGCCGCTGGTTGTTGGATTGGAACAACGTTGGTTAGACCTTTATAGTGAACGTGCTACTGAACTAATGGAAAGAAGACGACAAGATACAAGAGATCAAGCAGAGGAGATTATAACAGCTGCAAGTCAGTTATTTTAGTATTAATTATACTCAATTATTTGTGTCTAATAAATCTAAAATATTTTGTTTATTTCTAATATTCTTAACGAACATATTATGCGTAAAGAAGTTCTGTAAATATGTATTTTTGATCCTTAAAATTTCAATAGGAATTATTTTAAAAATTACAGGAGGACAGCCTATAAGAAGAGGGCCAGAAGTTGAAGCTCGTATTCGTCGAGCTACGGAAAGAGAAGGAAGAAGAGCTCGCCGAAGAAGGGCTAGAGAATTAGCTCCTACATTACCAAAACATATTGATGGAATGTCCAGTGATGATGAAGTTACTGAACAACAAAATCTTGCGTTTAAACAAACAAAAGGTTGTATTTTAACAAATGTCATCAAATTTATTTCTAGAAAAAAATAAGATTAACTGCCAAATTTACATAAATTAACATATTTATCACATATTCTAATTTTAATATTTTGTATGTTTCCTTTTCATGTATATTTTTAGACGAAATTGATAATGAAAGTAAAGAAATATTTGCCGATGTCACGGACGAATATTGCACAATTAGGGGAATACTTTCAAAATTGGAATCTTGGAGAGAAACTGACAGAGATGCTTACATGGAAGCTTATGTGTCTTTATGTATACCTAAAATAATTTCCCCTATTATTAGATTGCAATTACTAACGTGGAATCCTATTATGGTACTTTAATTATATCAATATTATTTTTATATTTTGCATTTGGAACAAAAAATGTTAACAGTTGTTAATTTTACTTGCAGGAAAGCGCGGATATAGAAAGAACAAAATGGTATAATACATTACTTCTGTACGCTTTAGACAATAAAGAAACAGAAGAGTCACTTAAAAGAGATCCTGATGTTAGATTGGTGCCATTTACAGTGGAAAAAATAGTTGTACCTAGATTAACATGTAAGATTATTTTATGTACTATAATAAAGTAATAATAATAATAGTAATAAATAATAAATTAGCTAAAAGCTTTGTAATAACTTGTACTTTTTGTTTACAGCTGTAGTTGAGAGAATATGGGATCCAATGTCTACATCCCAAACATTACGTCTTGTAGGCACTGTAAATCGTCTTATTAGGGAATACCCAAATTTAAATGATACTAGTAAACCATTAGAAACATTATTTAATGCCATATTGGAAAAGATTAAATCAGCAGTTGAAAATGACGTTTTTATACCAATTTTTCCAAAACAGTTAATATAACTCATACATTTTTTAAAAATTATTAGTAACAGTTTTATAACAATAGTAACAATTCCTAATTTTATATTTCAGAGTTTTGGATACCAAGCATCAATTTTTTCAAAGACAGTTTGCAATGGCTGTGAAACTTTTAAGAAATTTATTAAGTTGGCAAGGTCTTCTTGGAGACACGCAATTAAAAAACCTAGCCCTTGGTTCATTATTAAATCGATATCTTTTAGCGGGTTTAAGAGTATCTGTTGCAACTGATGCTTTATTTAAAGCAAACATGGTATGTTGATACTTTTCGTTTTAACTTTTTAGATAAAACAATTCTAAACTTTTAACCAAATATTATTTAAAAAAAATCAATTTTCATAAGGCACTAACAATTGTCATTTTATATAATAGGTAATGAGTACGCTTCCCCGTGCGTGGTTGCAAGGTGAAACAATAGAACATCTAAGAATGTTTGCTACACTTATTCAACAACTTAGTGAACAGTTGGATCAAGCAAACCCAGCTCATAAGTAAGTATAAATTCTAATTTTTTTATGTCAGAGTCATAATAGTTTTCTATTTTACACAATTATTACAAATAAATAAATAAGTTAATATATCACATTTAATATTTTGAGTTTTTTTTATATTGCTAACAAGTGGTTAAAGTAGTCATTTTTCTATGAATAATATATCAAATTTATTATTAAAGTACAAACTTAAATTTGCTTCTATCTTAAATTAATTATTCATTTTTACAGTGAAGCCTGGGAATATTCAAAGTCCATTTTGAAAATAATCAAGCCTTTGTAATGTATTAATTATATATGCATTTCTTAATAATATTTTATGGTATTTTTATTTCATAGTATTCATTAATAATGCCTACCTATAGTTTTATACGCATACTGAAAAGATCTTGTACATGGTGAATTGCAGTACAATTAGATGTGTAATATATAAAAATGTAATTTTGTATAGAAATAAATTACATAAGATTCTGATCATGTAGCACACTTTCCAATAGTAATTGTACATAATGAAAAAAAAAGTATGATGAAATAAATATGTAAATATCAGATTGTTTAGCCTTTCTATTACAACTAAAGAAAATAAAATCAATATTTTTATTATAAATACCTAACTTTATTTGTCAAATTATATAGTACATAAATAGTTAATATAGTATTAATTAAATGTAATGCTAAATTGTTATGATTTTATTAAGAAATTAGAAATCCTTTTTTTCAATGATGAGTGATGATGTAGATAATACTGACAATCACACGGTCAGAGGTCCTGTTATCTAAATATTTTTTTTTTTCATCATAGCTTCTAACATGTAATTATTTTAGTATAATTTCTTTTGTAGAAAAAAAACTGCTCTATTTTATAGAAGCATAATATTTCTTATCTAACTTTGTGTCTTTGTTGCACACATGTCATATTATATTTTTGTTATTGTATTTTGTTATAAGTAAGATAATGTGATTAACATCTACTGAAAAACTTGATGCAATTAACTGAATTTTAAACATTATTTTAAGTTATTATTAGAAAAGCAACAATAGTTTAATGATTATTTAAAAAGGACATCATATAAAAATACATTTGTATATCACATAAAAATACACACAGAAAGTGTAATAGGCTGATTTATACGATTGAAGATAATTTAGACAGGAGATAAGTTTTACTCACACAGATGGTGAAGACGTATTCATGGGTCACAGAGATAGGGACAGTAAGGGTCATCTCTTGACTTGTATGAACTCAGTTCACTTTTGTTAAGCTACCATTGCACAGCATGAGATTCACAGGTATAGAATAAACATTCTGTTATTATGTTTCTTATTATTACAAATTCTTATTTGTGATTGCAATTAAATTTTTAATTAAAGGTTGCTACCAAGCATTTTTGTTATCATCTAAAAATAAATAATTTTGATTGAAGCACATAGTTTAAATATGATATGTAATATCACAAAAATAAGTATTTACAATTATATATATATTATCTGAAGTTTTCCTATAATCTTTGTAGCAGTAACACAATATAAATAATACAGTTTGTAAAATTTGTTTAAATGTTATTTTATTAAAAATAAA